CCCACCTCGCATCCTCCTGGGAAACACTGTCTCCAGGGCTTAGTTGAGGACAAAGGAGCCCGAGCCTCCGCCTGACAGGCAGGGGGCGCACTTGTCCGGCGTCCTGGAGGCCCGGGCTTTGATCCCATCCGGGGATGCTCGCCCCCCAAGCACCGTGCCTCCGCCTCCCCGAGGGGCGTCGCGAGAGCTCCCAGACCCCGGCGCCGTGAGAGGCCCAGGCCTGAGCCCTGCGGAGCCAAGGCCCCTCCATCAAGGGCCCCGAGGCCCGTCGGGGAGGTAAGGCCCGGACTACGCGCCGCGTCCTCCCGGAACGCAGAGGCCCCTCGGAGCAGTGGCCGCCGCGCCGGAGGTGGGGGCGTGCGGGGCGGGCAGCCCTTCGGCCTCCTGCGTGGCCCCTCGCCTCCTGGAGAAGTGCGGGTTGGGGTGGTGCGTTTGGAAACAGCGACAGGCGCTGCCTCGGGCAAGTGCCCTTGAGGCGCCGGTGCGCACAGCGTCCCCTGGCGCCCAGGGAAGTGGAGAGAGCCACTTCCGGGAAGAGACGCTGCACTTCCGGGAAGAGGGGCGGGGCGCAGCCGGTTCAGCGGAGAAAGGCTGTTGGGGGCGTCGGAGGCCTGGAAAGAGTCCGTGGCGCACAGCTCACGCGGGCTGCTGGGGCGCATCCTCCTTCTGAGGTGACCACAGTGAAGCGGGGCGGCCTGTGGGATCCAGAGCCCAGGACTGAGGTGGCGCCCGACTGAGTTGAGGGGAGGGCTGCTGGGCCCTCACACCTGCCCCTCAGGTGCGCTGGGGCTCCCCTGGCACCGGGTGCACACCCTGGCTCGAGTTTTCCTATCAGTATTTTACTTTAAATGGGGTCGCTGCTTTACTTAAAACATTCACTTTAAAAGGCAGCTATTCATCTCTAAAATGGTAATGGTGGTAGGTTCACCAAGGGATTGATGCACATATTAAATAAAACGAGAGAGTGCTTGGAACTGTGCCTGAGAGATGAGGGCTCGGTACGTGCCACTCACTGTTCTTAAAGTAGTGGAAGTAAGTTCTGGGAAACGCTGGGACATGTGGTCCTTCAGAGGAGGTTTTAACTCTCTCTTCCGGGAACTTTTGGAAGCTCCTGATTTGTGGTCTAGGTTTCTGTTTTTTGTGTGTAGCCTGAGTACCCTCACTGGCTGAGGGGAGAGTTTCCCTCAGTTCTCTTCAGGAAATTCCTGTCAGATGAGTTGCCAGCAGGTGGCCCCAGAGCACGTGGGATGTGTTAGCCTTTTTGCGTCCCCTAATTTCATAACGGCTTATTGTATACCTACCCTACATGACGGTACAGGGTATCACCACGTTTTAGCAATTCTTGAGGGTGTAGGCAGGAGACCTGGGATGCAGGGAGAATATGATTGATTTGTTACTGTAGTTTTTTTCTTTCACAAGATTGTGGCTGTTATTTGATTCATTCATATATTTATTCTTCAAATATTTGATGGATGCCTACTCTGCTCCAGATGCCATCAGAGACTTGGTATACATCAGTGAACTAGAACAAAGATCCTGGCTGTCCTGGAGCTTACATTCTAGCAGGCAGCAATAAAGATAATAGGTGAATTTTATAGTGTGTTAGAAGTGTTATGAAAAAGAAAAATACAAGCCAGAGAGTTAGGTGGGGGTGGGTGGGGTTGTTGGATTGAGCAGATTACTGTATTGAATAGGGTGGCTAGGATAGGGCTCATCAGGGAGGCAGGATTTGAGCAAAGATTCAAAAAGAAATGCAGTTAGCCAAGCAGAGATCCGGGTGAAAAGTGTTGTAGATACTACGAAACATTTGGAGCAGTTGCAGTTACCCTTTTATAGATGAGATAATTGAGGCTCCGAGAAGTGAAATGACTTGTCTAAGGTCGACAGGAGTTTGCTGCAAAGTTGGTGTACTTTCCCCTCCTTATTTCTAGCTGCATCTCCCTTCACCAGATCACACTACCCTCAGTGTTTGCCAGGGTGATGGAGGCTTCTTGTAAAGATGCCACAATACTTTGCTTGCTTAAGTGATGACTCAAGTTGTCTTGGCATATTTACTTTCATTGGGCAATAGCAAACTCTGTTTGATGTTTCTTTCTTATGTAATCACTAAATATGTATCTGCTGAGTGCTGTGGAGGAGAGAATTGAGGCATGGCCCCTACACCTAAGGGACTAATAATCTGTCCATAAGCGTTTTAGGCTTTCATTTCCTCTGTTTCGTCTCCTTTCTCTGCTTCCCCCAAACAAGTCCATTGATGATCTCCATCTACAGCTTAACCTTCGAACTGAGTCAGATTCTCAAACTTAGTCACCCAATCTTGGTGTCTAGGTTCCTGAACTCTCCCCCAGATTCCTTTTGTTGCCAGTTGATACGTGGTGCCCGGTTATCCCTCAGTCCCGGGTCTGCACTCCCGCTACCTGTGTTGGACGAGTGTGAGACCAGGCTTACGCCTGTTCTCCACTCCTAGGCTTTGATTACATGTCTCACCTGGATCCTTAGTTACCCTCCAGAACTGTCTCCTTGCCACGTTTGTTTACAGCTGTAGAGATCTGTCCACTTGCTTGGAGGCTCTGTGTCTTCCTATTTGGAAATTGTGCTTCTTGGATACTGATTTGTGACTTGGACACTGTTCTTGGTCCCTCGAGTTGCCTTCCTGAGCCTGCGTCAGTTCTCTCAGCCTCTGGCCCTGAGAACGCTGGACATGTACTGAATCCCCTTCCCTTTCTGCCCACAGTTGCGTGAGGAGATTGTGGTACCCTGTGTAAAAATTCCTTGATGATGGCACTTGTGAAACAGCAGTGAAGGACAGAAGGCTGCATTTTCAGGTAGTTAATGTCTGAGAACTAGTAGTTTAGAGGAGAGGGGAGCTTGGAAAGCCTGTAGTGGACAAAAATGAGTAATCCTGGTCTTGATCTACCTCTTCCCACCACTTCTTCTAAACACACCCTCTCCATTCCATTTAGGCTAATCTCATGTTCACCCCCACCCTGTTTTCTCCCCACATCTATTCTACCTAGAGGGAGATACCAGGTCCAGATGAGATTATTTTGGGTAGAATGTACACATAATTCCTCTCTAAGTGTGGACATCCTAGAGCTGAGGGGACACGTGCCTCTCTTGGTGTCACCAACGTGACTGCAGGCCTTGGAGGGAGGCCCTTCAGTGCCGTGGAGGAGAAAACGGGGTTTGGCATGTCTTGGCATGAGTGAGGGGGCTGAGTGTCTCTTAGCCCAAAACGTCTGAAAGTTCCAGTTGCTCCTGTTCCCTTCCAGGATACTGGCCCTCTCTTCCTCTTTACCATTCTGATCTCGTCACTTCTCTATTCTGTCTCTAAAGATTTAAGTCTTAGGATATGGTTTTACCTTGTCCATGTGGGTCCATCTGGACTGTCAACCTCAGATCTCTTCATATGTGGGCCCCTCTCTCCATTCATCCCCTGACACATTCCCAGAGCTGTTTCCAGAGCCAACACCAAATCCTGAACTGGAATTCTCTCTTGACAATGATCTCAGATGCCTCTATGTGCTCCCTCAGGTCATTTCACACATTTGGTGCCAACTTGATTTCCCAAGACTGCTTATTTTGCTGCCTGGCCGGCTTTGCTTTGCAATAATCTCTTTCATCATTCCCTTCCCCTTGGTGTGTCTGGCAGCTTGACTTCCAGTGTAAGGAGTCCTCAGTTCTCCTTCTGTTTGTTGGCAACATCTACCACTCCTCTCTGATTGAACCCATAGTTCTGGGTTATTGGATTAGAAAGTTAGAGTTTGGTAGGATTTTTGAGGTGACTATCTCCTCACCTTAGCTGAAAGCAGACTTTTCCTGAGTGACACGACTTTTCAGCAGTTCCAGTGCAGGGAACTCATTCTCCCTCGTGGGGTTGTGGCTGGAGATGGGCTGAGCTTGCCTTTGCTCACCACCTTGGCTCCTTTCAACGACCATTCTTCCACTGATGCACACACACTCTACCCTCTTTCCAACCTGATTGTTCCCTCAACCGATCTCCTTGCCCTATAACCATATTTAATGAGGACCTTGGCTCCTGTCTCTTTCCACCCTGGCTTTTGCCATCATTCTGGGAAACTTCAACCAGCATCTTGGTGATGCATCTGGAGCCTTCATTCTTATAGTCCATTGATTTCCACCTCCACCTCCCCTTTAGCCAGCCATTCATGGCTGCGCCCTGAGCCTTGTCATCATCTGGAACTGCTCCACCTCTGAATCCAGGACTCCTGAAGTTCTGCTTTCTGATCACACAGCATAGCCTTCTAAGTCTTCTATTCCCAGTTTCCTGCTAAACTTAATCTTAAAAAATAAACATTGTTTTTACTTTGAGTAATTGCATGCCTGTCATCCAGAATTGATAGTAATAAGTATTTTGTCATTTTTGCTTCACGTCTTAATAAAAGGAATAAAACCTTACAGGTACATTTAAGTCTGCTGTGGTCTTCCCTCAAGTTCTGATCTCATCCTCTCCGCAGAAGCAACCACCGACACAAATTTGGTGTGTGTGTCTGTGTATAAAATGTAACGATTTTGGGGCTTTAAAATCTGCATAGTGTACTGCACCTGATCTACAGCTTGATTCACTCATTGCTATGTTTAAAAAATCAATACATACGTGATAAGTAGTCCATTCCTTTTAAATGCTCCATAACATTCCAGTAGAAGTGTGTAGTGCAGTTTGTTTTTCCGTTTCCACATTCATCATTACAAACTGCTTAATGGAAGTCCCTTCCAAGTGTCCTCCCACGCAGAGTAGTCCGTGCTGTGCTGTGGAACAGGCAGGGGCACAGCTAGCTCTGGCGCCTCTGTGTGAGGTAGGGAGGCTTCCTCCTTGCGTGGGCCTGTCCTCTGGACACAGAGCTTGGCGAGGGAAGGGCGCCTGGGGGAAGAAACAAGTACTCAGGTGGACGTAGCTTTGTGCTGGCGATGGGTGGGTTCTTAAGTGGAGGTGGATTGGATTTCTTGGACTTGCTCCCTGTGGGCACCTCTGGGCAGTGGGCAGATTTCACAGCTATAAGTGGTGTCTTGCGTTAAGAAGAAAAACTTTATGGAGTCACACTGCTGGGGTTCAAATGTTAGCTCTTGGGATGACAGGAACTTACTGCATGGCTGTGCCTCTCTCCTTGTCAGTAAAGTGGGAGCGTGGCGTTCTCTCTCTCATGGAGTAACTGAGAGGGCAATGTGTGGAAGTGTTTGATACATAGTAAGTTTTACATAAGCGTTAGA